CAGTCCCGGTTCCGCCCCGGTTCAGTCCCGGTTCAGTCCCGGTTCCGCCCCGGTTCCGCCCCCAGTCCCGGCTGCCCCATTCCCGCCCGGCCCGGCACGAAGCCGCGGCGCCCCCTGCCGGCCGCTCGCGGGCTCGCCGGGGCCGGGCTCGGCAGGAGCGGGGCTCCCGAGCCGGCACCGAAAGGAGATCGGCCCTGGTAGAGCTGGCACGGCCCCTGCCCGGCTGGCACAGCCCTGGGCCAGCCGCCAGGCACCAGCAGGGCTGATGGTAGCCCTGACTGCCTCGCTGGCAGCCCGGCCCGTGCCCCTGCCCGGCTCTGAGGAGCGCACAGGGATGTGTTTGTGTGTGTGACATTCCAGGAGCCACAAACGCGGCACCGGGAGGGGGGGACAGTCCGTGCTCGGGGCCGTGGCAGCGGCTGTGCCAGGGTCCTGGGCAGCTCCCACCCCGGTAACCCCAAAATACGGTGTGGCTTTCACCTCCCACCTGCCCCAGGAAAGCCGCCCGTACCCCGGCCTGGCTGGGTGCCCTGGCAGCGGGCGGGGTGGCCACAGGCCACGAGATGGCACTGCTACCGTGCACTGCTACCGTACACGGCTACCGTACACGGCTACCGTACACGGCTACCGTGCATTGTTACCGTGCATTGTTACCGTGCACTGCTACCGTGAATTGTTACCGTACACTGCTACCGTACACGGCTACCGTGCATTGTTACCGTACACGGCTACCGTGAATTGTCACCGTGCATTGTTACCGTGCACTGCTACCGTGAATTGTTACCGTACACTGCTACCGTACACTCCTACCGTGAATTGTTATCGTGAATTGTTACCGTGCACTGGTACCGTGCATTGTTACCATTGTTACCGTGCATTGTTACCATTGTTACCGGGCATTGTTACCATTGTTACCGGGCATTGTTATCGGGCATTGTTACCGGGCATTGTTACCGTGCCCTGAGAGCAATGGCCTCGCCTGCACGGCTGTCCCTTGTCTGCAGGGACATCGTGGGACACAGGGATGTGTATATAGGGATTGCCAACCAAAAATGTTAATTCTGATGGTAGTGGCTTGTGTAAGCCGGCCAGGGGGAGTGTTTCTGACCAGCTGATTTATGGGCAGGATGGGTGTGGTCATGTTTGTGTTACAGCTGGGTTTTGTGGGAGGGGGTGAGCCCTACCTGGGAGGTCACTGATGTGGGTCCGGTGTTAGCAGCAGGCTCACCTGGCATGGCCCTGCCTGGGCCAGCTGTTGTTAGGCCCGGGCTTTGTCTCATTGTTCTGCTGCTGCTCCTGTCCCAGCCCAGCACGGGCAGTGCTGGTTTTGGGGCAGTGCTGCAGGTTTCCTCTCTCTGCTTTGCCCACAGTACGACTACAGCTTCCGGACGGAGCAGAGCGCCGCCGCCCGCCTGCCGCCCAGCCCCACCCGCTGCCCGCCCGTCACGGTGCCGCCGTCCTGAGGGGCCACCACGGCCAGACAGCGTGGGGTGTGCACTGCTGAGCAGGGCTGGGACACGGGGACACGGCCACAGGACCATCCATCATGGAACCATCCACCCACCAGGGAACCATCCACCATGGAGCCGTCTATCTACCATGGAGCCATCCACCATGGAACCATCAACCAACATGGAACCATCCACCCACCATGGAACCATCAACCAACATGGAACCATCCACCACAGAACCATTCACCCACCATGGAACCATCTATCCACCATGGAGCCATCCACCATGGAACCATCAACCAACATGGAACCATCAATCCACCATGGAGCCATCAATCCACCATGGAGCCATCCACCATGGAACCATCATCCACCACGGAACCATCCACGGGCCCGGCTGTGTCCCCACCGCCCCCGCCCTGCACTGCACCACCCCTGCACACACCACGACCCTCGGGCAGCTGCCCCTCCCTGCCCCTGCACTCCCCTCTCCACGTGAGTACAGCCCTGGGAGCCTGACCAGCCCCTTCTCATCCCCACGGGGTAACCCAGGACAGTCCCAGCATGCAGAGCTGCAGCAAACCTCTGCCAGCACAGCCGGGAGCTTGCAGAGACGTCTGAGCCTAAAAGGGACAATACAGGGCACGGCTGGGCACTGCCACACCGGCTGCCCTGGAGCTGCCTGGCTCTCCACACCTTGCAGCAGGAGGCTCCTGTGGCACTCAGTCCAGTGCAGAACTCAGCTTCAGTGAATGCCAATCCCTCTGCCAAGGGCTGGGCACAGAAGTTCTGCTGTGGCTGGCATCAGTCTCAGATCCACTGTGGTCACTGGATTTGCTGTAGGCTGGGGCAGCCAGGGCCCCTGGCTCTCCCTGGGCACTGGCAGGGCAGGCAGGGTGCCCAAGGTGCACTGCAGGTCCTGAGATGAAGCACCTTCGCTTTGCACAGGGTGTCCATCTGTCCATATGGATCTAGGGCAACGAGTGTCCTGTGTTTCTTTCGGGATGGGTGCTGGCAGTGGCACCCTGGCAGTGCCCCACTGACCCCGGCCAAGCTGCCTATGGACCTGCTGACAACTGGGATGTCATTGAGACACCTCTCTAACGTGTTCCCCTCTAGCTGCTAAAACAAGAGAGATGTGCCTGTTTCCTGGCATTCATGGGGAAGCACTGAACACTGACATGGCACATAGGATGAGCGTGGGACCCTAACCTCTGCCTCCCTGAGATTCCTGACTGGGCTTGCTCCCTAGCCCAACGCATGTCTTGGAGAAGTCCATTGCTGTAATAAGTTATTTACAAGTGCCCATCTGACTCTGTGCTGCTCTTTCAAGTCTCTGCTGTAGAACAAAGATACATCATGGCAGCAAAATGGCAATTTTGGAGTGAGAGTTAAAACGTACAGTTTTTTATATTGTAAAATACTGATTCCTGACCCCATTGAAATGCATTTGCATTGGTAACAGTAACAGTGTTGTTGCTCACAGCCTGAGTTGTACATGTGCCCCGACTCACTTTGCACTCCCTTGGATTGATCCGGCATTTTCTATTTGCACAGAGTGGTAACTAACAGCAGTTTTTGTACTGTCGGCTAATGTGTTTTATTTGTACATAAGTAAAATAATTCTTGTCCAAAGATTCATTTCTGGTTTTAAGGCACCACGCTGTACTTCTAGGATAAAGAGCACAAATACCGTGACATTCGGGACAAACTGAGTCCACATCTTTGCTTCAGCTTCTTCCATCAGGTAAATAATTTTCTGGAGCTGCCTCTGTAGAATTGCCATGTGGTTGGAGAGCAGAGGCCAGTTTGGTTGCATGTGTGTTGTTTTTGGACAAAAGAGTTAAAGCTGTGCACCAGCTCTGGAGCCCTTGGGTGACCCCCTGGAACTGCTCGTTTACTTGGAGCTTGCACCACCATTTTTAGTTGTTATTTATCCTGCAGTAAAGAAAAGCCAGACCTCACTGCCAGGCTTCACAAAGGGCAGATTGATGATGCCGACATCGACAAATGAACATACCATGGCAGCTTGGTCATTCGGCTCAGGTTCACTTCAAGTTCAAATCCACTCTATGCCGTAGTGCTGTGCCCATGTCATCCATCTTTTGTCTTTCTATTTTTCTGCTTGCAATTTGTTCTGTAGTTTTCTGTGGCGTCCATTTATAGCTTCTCCTGTGGCTCAGTGGTCAGGGCAGGTAGGCAGGAGCCCTCTGCAGCAGTGAGTTCCTCGTGGCTTTGGGATGAGAGCTGAGCTTTCCTGTTCGTGGTGGAGCAAGGAGGGCTGCGGGCTAGCACAGGGCACAGCACAGTCTGCAGAGCTCCAGGGGCAGTGCCTGCCACAGGGACATGGACAGGGAGCTGCCAGGAGCCCCTCCTCGAGCCCCCTGCTCCAGCCACCTCTTCCATAAGGACAGGGTTGCCTGCACAGCCGACGGGGGCTCAGCAAGGAGCAGGTCCTGAGAGCCACCAAGCCCCAGGCTCGGTGCCACACTCCCTGGGTGTGTCTGGGGAAATGGGTGCAGAGCTTTGAGTCCCTTATGTAAGAGAAAATCAGTGCTTTAATATTTATACCCACTGCTAGGTTTGCTCAGCCTTCTTGGAGATAAGGAGCTCAGCTTGCTCTGCAGTGACCTAGAGGAAACACTGGATACTTGAAACACTGGCAGGATACACGGCTGGGACAGGCATCTACATCTTCAGGATATATTTGTATACTTACTTCTCCCTCTCTAACACTGGGCCAGCAAGGCTGCTTCAGGACTCACCTGCAAACCTTGAGAGATGAGTTTGCTCTCCATGCTGTGGACCTGCAGGGACAGCCTGTTCCAAATGCACAGACAGGACAGATGCACTTCCTGTGGGGCAAACACAATGAAGGTGTTTTGAACAAAAAGCTGCACCTGCTGAGAGCCAGCTGAGCTCTCAGCCCTGCTAACCACAGGCTGGAAAACCAGGCAATTCCAAAAGGGAGAGGGCTTGGAGCCAGTGCTGGAAAGCACAGCGAGACACAGCGCAGGGTGGTTGACTGTGTCAACTTCGCAGTCCACTGATCAGAGGAAGCTTTTTTTATTGCACTGCTGAATTCCTGAGACCAGGGGTGTCAGGTCAGCATTTCCACGGGAAGGTTTTATTGGCTGTTCCATAACTTTTGGAGTCACGGCAGCTCATTGCAAGGCTGGTCCTTGCATCCTTACAGTGAGTCCTCCATGCTGGCAAGTGCCATGGCCAGCACCAGCATCTCTGCATCTTCCTCCCTGCCCAGGATGTGACAAGGCATGGAAGAATGAGCCCAGGCAATAAATGTTCAGGGAGTCTGATGTGGATGTTGTCTGGCTGTGGAGAAGCCTTCTGAAGCATAAGGGGAGGGGAGGAGTCAGTGGAAAGCAACAGAAGTGAATTTGCAGAGCTTTACCAGATGTTCTTGGCTACCTTGCCTGAATTTGTAGAACAAAACTGGTCTCTAGGTAGTTTAATCTTGTGGCTGATGGAGAAGTTAGTTTGCCAAATTATTATACATCTGCAACAGAGACAGAAAAGCAGCAGTGAGGGGTTTGCTTACTGTAAAATACGCCTTCTGATGTGAGTTCATAGTGACACGCTGCCTCCTGGATTCCTCATGGCAAGAAGCTGGTCCTGTGCCGAGGTGACTCGTGGCCACCCAGGCCAGGCTGTGCTGCCTGCTGTGTAGATCGTGGAAAGGCAAGAAGTTAGTCCAGAAAGTGATGTAGAGTGTGAAGTTCGTGATAAAATTCAAGTGTGAATAGTTGTAGCAGGTGTCTTCCCTTACAGGAGCACCTCATATCTGTAGTTCATAGGAGTAAACTGTGTCAGACTGTTCCTGTGACTGTCCCTGCGTGTCCCCACGGTGTTTGTGGAGGTTTCCTGGGAGCCTCCTGTGCACTGGGAGGTTGTTGGTTGTCTGTAGCATTTGGGCTTGTTTGGTTTCACACCCACCTCTGCCCCCTCAGTGTCCCGAGCTCTCCAGACTGAACCCACCTGCTGCCCAGCCTGGAGAATTCCTGTCGTGGGCACTGCATGTGCCAGGTAGGTGCTAGTGGCACTGCCAAGCCTCCACGGGCCTTGGCACCTCCTCTTCTGTGGGGCCTGAAATCTCCTGGGAGGAGGGGGATTGGGGTGGAGCAGGTCCCACGTTGGCCTTCACCTCCCCCTGCTCCCCAGGTGACGCTGGCTCTGTCCCCCAGGTGTGCCCACAGCTGCTGTCCCATGGCAGCCCCAGCAGCCTGGGGAGCTGCTCCTGCTCCTCCCACAGGGCAGGCACTCCTCTCTGCATCCGAACAATTAATTAATTACCTCAGCCTTGGAGCCTTCAACAGCCTGGGATCCCCTGGGACTGCCCGGTGTGCTGGTGTCAGCCACCCCAGCCTTGTCAGCCAGGCTGTGGGACAGGAGGGGACAGGAGGGGACAGGCTGCTCCTCTGTCACCAGCCAGCTCACTGAGGTGCTGCCCAGCTCATCCACCACAGGGAAACCAAACACTTGGGATATTCTGGTCGTTTGTTGTGAAATTGTTTCCTAACAGCAACAGATTTAAATGTCATCATACAAATGGCAGAGAGAAACCTTTTATGCAGTTGCAAAGTGGTTTTCTAAGATGGTTGGGTTACTGAAAGTGATTTTACTGTGCATTAATCTTATGAATGTTACTATGTTTTATATTTATTTTAGATGACCCTCCTGTATTTTACAAAGGGAAGTTTCATTGCGTGATAACTCAGTCTGTATTCTTAATATAATTTGTTAAATGAAACTTGTTTTAATCAGATAATTCTGTGTGCTTTGTGTTTTAATTTTCTGACTAAAACAATTACCTGGACCAGAAGGGGGAAGTACAGAGGTGGCAACACGATCCCCTATAGGAAACACGGTCTTGTTTGTGGGCATTTTTTCTTGGAAATTGGATATAAAAAGCCTTGGAAAATGTGTCTAAAACGTCTTTCTCTACAGGTATGCTGCAAAGTCAGACCTATGGGGCAGGATTGGGCAAAGCCTGGCAGGAGCAATCCCCAGCACAGCCATGGTGCTGGCAGCTGTGGGGGCAGCAGTGGCCACCTGGGCCCAGCCCGTGGCCACCCTGGCAGTGCAGGGACCTGAGGGGAACGGGCTGCTCAGCCAGGGGGAGGCTAATACTGCACTGCACTGAAAATTGTTTTTCTTTGTGCTAAATTATTATTCTTCTGAACTTGA